GTTGTATCGAGAAAGAATAAACTAGTTTTAATTAAGAAAGAATCTTGTATCGCTGAAGTTTCTCGGAAATAATTTATACCGGAAATTAACAAACAAGCAGATACGTAACAATACAATAAGGCATAGACGCTAAAACTTGTATGTTAGAAACTACGCCCATATTTTATCATATATCTCCTAAAAACAACTAATAAATATTTGGTAAAGGAAATTTTTTTCGATAGAAGAGTGAAAGCTTAGTATTTATTTGTTGAAAATACACAATTAATTACTTTTATTTACACAAACATTAATTTAATGCCATAAGGGAATCAAGTATGTCATAATGTCGAATTTGATTATGAAGTACAAATAATCGGAAAAGGATATGACAAAAATGAAATTATTTATTTTAGGGAAATAATTCTGTGAATACATAATAGACCGTCAAATGTGTGATTATACTAACTTAAACTACAAAGTTCGAATCATTGCTTATTAATACTCTGATATATTATGTCAATACTAATTGTAAGGTCTGACATCCAACAAAAATTTTAATCCGTGGCTAATTAGCAATATAAATACAAACATGCTTTGCAATTTCAGATTTATCTCTATCAAGAAATGTGCGATTAAATTTCTGAGCAGTCGCAATCTGAGGTTCGCGGGTTCGAATCCTCGTCCCACCAAAACATGCTCGCCCTTTCAGCCGTGGGGGCGTTATAATGTGTCGGTCAATTCGTTGGTAAAAGAGTAGCTCAAGAGTTGGCGGTGGATGGTGATGACTAGCTGCCTTCCCTCTAAGTCTTACACTGCTAAATTAGGGACGGCTAGCGCAGATAGCCTTCGTTGGTAAGAGATTAGCCCAAGAGTTGACGGTGGGAAGTGATGAATAGCTGCTTTCCCTTTAGTCTTTCACTGTAGTTTTGCGCGAAATTCAAACCAACTACTGTTCTTAATAACAAATAAATAACAGAACTCTATGCTCATTTAGACATTTTTGTTCCTATATCATTGGGTTACCTTAGTGAATGTTCTTGTGAATCGTACTTAAAAGGTCGTAAGGAGTTATTCCTTGGTGAATGAAGAAAGAACTTGTTTTAAAATATTATAAGCGGTTATTTCTTGATAGAAAAGAAAGGACTTATTTTAATAACTCGTAATCAGTTATTCCTCGATACATGAAGAAAGAACTTGTTTTAAAGGATTATAATTAGTTATTCCTCGATACATGAAGAAAGAACTTGTTTTAAAGGATTATAATTAGTTATTCCTTAATACATGAAGAAACAAGAGGGAATCCTCAATATACGCGGCACTTTTAGGCAAAATTATAATAAATTAATCTATGAGGATTTTTTACCATTTTCTTAGATATATTTTTGTGCGCCAGCAATACCAAGCGATTTTATTACTCATCGGGATCTTTACCAACCTACCCTCAAATTGAAATTCTTTTAGGCAGGATTAAAGTAAATTAATTTATGAGACTTTGGGCGATGTCAAATATATCAATTGAAAGGGTTTGTACTCCTAAGTCCAAAGCTGTAATTAGACTTTAAGTTGGTCAAGAGATGATGGAGCTATGAGCTAAAAGTTTGTACTTGTAAAACTTAGAGCCATTCTAAAAGTCGCTATGCCTCGGCTAAAAACTTGTTTTAAAGGATTGTAATCAGCTGTTCCTTGATACGTGAAGAAAGAGCTCGTTTTGAAGGGTTGTAATCAATTACTCCTTGGTAAATGAAAAAAGAACTTGTTTTAAAAGATCGTAATAAGTTATTCCTTAGTAAATGAAGAAAAACTTGTTTTAAAATATTTTAGGCAGTTGTTCCTTGATACATGAAGAAAGAACATTTTTTTAAACATTTTTTGCTTAAGATTTTAAGCAATTATTCTTTGATACATGAAGAACAAAAATGTTCTAAAATGTTGTAAGCAGTTATTTGTTGATACATAAAGAAAGAACTTGTTTTTAAAGATTATAAGCAGTTATTCCTTGATAAATGAAGAAAGTACTTATCTTAAAGGATTGTATGCAGTTATTTCTTGATACACAAAGATAGAATTTGCTTTTTAATACACTAAATCTAAATGTATTTTATGGACAGTAATATCAAAGTAATTATTTAATTTCTGTAGTGGATATTTGTGTATAGAAGACATATCAATGCTAGAACTACCTTATAACACCAAAATGTTGTTTGTATTTGAACACTCAACGTTTCGCTTTACAGCTTCTTCGAGAGCGTTCACTAAAACACGAACTGAAACTGACAGTGCAAAGCATAAAATGGTTTGAATAATAAATCATATTCGTTTCTATAACGTGCATTTGTACAGCGTGATTTGGACATATTAAGAAGTAAAGTTTGTTTCTTTGTAATTAAGCACAAAGCTACACGATGGACTACCTGTGCTCTGCCCACCACGGGTATCGAAACCCGGATTCTAGCGTTGTAAGTCCGCAGTCATACCGTTGGGCTACTGGGGAGCTTGTTGAAAGAAAAGTATTGTTGCTACCTGTAGTAAACAAAAGGTTTATTAAGGTTACAGAGTGAAATAACAAAAAGATGGGATAAAAATATGATAAGTAAAATTATAGGCGTCATACATCCTTTGTCGCTATTCTTTGAATTTTATGTCAGTGTACTTGGTGGCTTTGGTGAGGATTTGTACTGAGAATGGTGGTTTCAAATCAATTGTTACTTGTCCATGATTAGTTAAAAATAGTCTGCAACTGCGCTTCTTTCATGTTGTTGTTTATAAAAACCGTCAATATGTTCTCCTGTCCTTGTGTGTAGGGTTCTTTCGGTTTCTCCCATGTAGGTATGATGGCAGATGCTATATGTAACTTAGTAAACAACATTGGAGACAAGACATTCATCTTAAGATTGCAAACTTGCTTCTGTAAGACAGTTGGCTTTATTACATTTTAGGGTAAAGTACTGAGATTTTGATAGTTGGTTTTTTTAGGGTTAGAGCTGGCCGTTCTATAACCCCTCGAGGTGGATTCCTGTACGTAGTGAGGGGACCTACACATAGCGAACTCCTCCTGAGGTAAAAGGCCATTGGGGATATACTCATTGAGGTTACTTCTCATGCTACTTTGAATTCCTCTTGAGGAGTGATCGTTGAGAAGGATTTCAAGAACATCCCCGAGTCGGAGATCCTCGCTAGTTTCTCTAGCCAAGGAGTTTATGCTGTGTGCCGTATCTCCACTCATAAGGACGGATGTATGCCGCCGACAAATGTATTAATTTTGTGGCTTACATAATCACGTCCACCTGCCCCTGTCAAAGCAGGTTATCTGAACTGTAAGGTGTGGCTATACATTCCTAACCCTCTCAGATGTTTCCAGTGTCAGCAGTTCCGACATTCGAAGGCATCTTGTCGTGGTTCTTTGACATGTGCTCATTGTGGTGACAAAGACCATGACGCTCACGAGTGTAAAATGGACCCCCATTGCGTCAATTGTGATGGTTCCCACCCCTCTTACTACGATCTTCCCTAGGTGGGTGGAGGAGAAAGAGGTACAACGTTTACCTACTGTCCATAACATTTCTTACCCCGAGTTATTGTCTTCCACTCCATCTTGGGCATATGCTGCTTCACTACGTTCCACTGCTACAGTGGGAGTACAGACATATCTTCCCATACCTCCAACAAAGTCGTTCTCAAAACATGTGAAGAGTATTTTGCCCTCTATAGATAAACGAGTTGACAAGTCCACGTCTTCTTCCATCTCTGTCCCCACCATTCCTTCCAGTGACTGTCTATGTCCACCTCCTTTGACCCCAGCTTCTGGTGTCTGCTCAAGTCCATCTTCTTCGGGCCCGAGATGCAGAACAATTATTCTTTTACGCCCTCAGTCGCTGGAATCTACGTCTACTGACATAAACCTGCCCACTCGACCCAGGGCAGGATCCATGGAGGTCGAGATACTTCTGTCTAGTAGAGATAAACAGTGTGGTCTTAAACAGAAAAGTTCTCCACCAACTTCTCCTCCACCTAAGTAAAAATGGCCACTTTGATACAGTGGAACTGTCGAGGTTTCCATTCTATTCTGGATGACATTAAGGCCTTGATTGATTCCTATCATTTCGTGTGTCTTTCCTTACAGGAAACATTCCTGAAACCTAATAATGGTTGGACAGGCTTGAATGGGTAATGAAGAAAAACTTTAATATAAGTTTAACATAACAGCAAATGTACAACGTTTCAACAAGGTTTTGTCGTCATCAGGTACAAGTAATTTACACTGACACGGATATATATATATACAGTATTAAACAAAGCAGTCACATGACCGGAACTGTTGCAAAACTTAGAAGAGGTATCTAAGCATCCCGGGGTGTTGGTTTAGAGTAGGGTTGATTTGTTCAATTAAGATGGATTCCTTGATTTTTCGTTGGTTTATGTTGGGTTCTTTGTTTAAAATGACTGTGTTTTTAATAGATATACTATGGTTTTTAGAGTTGGTGAAAAACATGGAACGGTTTTTTATTGTGTTCTGTCAATCTGGTTTCCAGTTTTCTTCCTGTTTCTCCGGA